GTACCTTTTTGAAATTGCCCTGTAGATACTGACCGAGTGAACTGCCCAAATATTTTGATTTGTTTCAATACCTGCACTCCTTCTTGGACAGTAGAACTACCCGAAGCAATTCAAATAAGCCAAACTCAAAACCTCTGCACAGCCCCCTCGTGAAAAAGTCCGTTCTTTAATGAGCCTCTGTCATCACAACACTGCTCAGATCCAGTGCCTCTCATATCCTCATTCCTATCACTCTTGTTTCTAGACCCTAATGGGTGTCCCTGCTTCCTCAACAACTCCCAAACTTACATGGTCAGATTAAACTACAAGAATCCTGACTATGCTCCGTGCTTCATCGAACTTCTCCAAGATCTCTCCAAACTGAATGAATAGGGTAATTGTGGGAGGCAGACTAACCCCCACAAAGCTGTCTACACCCTAATTCCTGAGTGTATGAACAAGTTAGGTTCTATGGCAAAGGAAAATTAAGGATGCAGATGGAAATAGGGGTGCTAATTAGCTAATCTTTAAGCAGGGATGATCTTAAAAATCTTTAAATTCTGGATGATCCAGGTAAACACAACATAATTACAAGGGTTCTTGTGGAAGTGGAAGAGGGAGGCAGAGGAGCAGAGTCAGGGGGAGCCATGACTCCAAAAGGATGATGAGAGAGATGTCATGCTGCTGACTGTGGAAGGGAAGGAGGAAGCCATGAGTTGAGGGATGTGGGTGACCTCTGGAAGCTGGAGAAGGTGAGGAAAAGGACTCACCATGAGAGTCTCCAAAAAGGAGCAAGCCTTGTCAACATCCTAAAGTTGGCCCAGTAAGACCTGTTGGACTTGTAATCTATCGTAAGATGATACTACTCTAAGATAAGCATCAGTGTTATTTAAAGCCACAGAGTCTCTGGGAATGTGTTGCAGGGGCAATAGAAAACTGCTGCTAGGAAGCTGCAGGAAGCTCAGCCCAGGGCTCTGTGATGACCCAGAGGGCTGGGATGAGGGTAGAGGTGCAAGGGAGGCTCCGGGGAGGGGATATGTGCATACACAGGGCTGACTCACTTCACTCAACAGCGGAAGCCAGTGCAGCACTGTGAAGCAACTACACTCTAACCAATTAGTTGTGGGTCTTTTAAAAGAAAACTAATATAGACACTCAGATTCAGGGTGAGAAGTTACACTTTTGCCTAAAGGTATGTTCTTTTAAAAGGATTTATAATCTAGTTTATAATTCTGTTGAAGGAAATAAGGAAAGGAGATTTATTATGCTGGCACAGATGAATGGAATCAGTTCTTTACTTCCCATCTGACTCTCGATCTTTGGGGGAAATGGCAACCCACTCCAGTACTCTTGCCTACAAAATCTCATGGACAGAGGAGCCTGGCGGGCTACAATCCATGGAGCCACAAAAAGTTGGACATGACTGAGTGACTGAACCCACACACACACTTTCTGCAATTTCTGATTCTGTTGGTCAGAAGCTGGAAGAAAAGAGACATATGGTGCCCTGAACTTAACTCTATTTCTCAAAATTTTTACTATTTGTTCCCCCTAAAACAAATATTCATCAGACACTTCGGTGACCTTGGTTTGTTTGGTTTATTAATAAAGACAGGAATTTAGTATTATAAAGAAGATTGCTACTCTTGAACCTCAAAGCCAAATACAGCATGTCAGTCACTAGCATGGCTATTAGCACCTGGGGCAAGGCAATTCTTTGCTGTGCATGACCATTCCACAAACTACTGGACATTAAGCATCCCTGGCCCCTGCACACTAAAGGCCAGATGACCTCCCTTCCAGGCCCCCATGTCTCCTGACAACCAAACACACCCCACATACATTTCTAAATACCCTCACTCTGGGTTAAGAACCACCCACATGGTGTTCATTAACAATGAATCTAATCTACTTATGGCAATTTGCCTGGCCTGTTCCTATAAAACTCACTAATGGTCTTACACACTATTCTGGCAAAATCAGGCACGTTTAAGACAATACAGTTTATAAAGAAACACAATGAGATGATCAGTAAAAAGAATACATAATGGAAATAGACTGGAGATGTTCACTGGGCTAGGAAAATAAAAATAGCCATTGCTCAACATTTTACAAAACAGAAGATCTGTTGTTCAGTTCCTAAGTCATGTTCTACTCTTTGTGACTCCCATGGACTGCAGCACACCAGGCTTACCTATCTTTCACTATCTCCCAAAGTTTGCTCAAACTCATGTCCATTCAGTCAGTGATGCTATCTAACCATCTCATCCTCTGTTGCCCCTTTCTCCTCTTGCCCTCAACCTTTCCCAGCATCAGGGTCTTTTCTAGTGAGTCTGTTTTTCACACCAGGTGGCCAAAGAATTGTAGCTTCAGCTTCAGCATCAGTCCTTCCAATGAATATTCAGAATGATTCCCTTTAGGGTTGACTGGCTTGATCTCCTTGCAGTCCAAGGGACTCTCAAGAGTCTTCTCCAACACCATGGTTCAAAAGCATCAATTCTTTGGCACTCAGCTTTCTTTATGGTCCAACTCTCACATCTGTACGTGACTACTGGAAAAACCATAGCTTTGACAATATGGACTTTTGTCAACAAAGTGACGTCTCTGCTTTTTAATATGCTGTCTAGGTTGGTCATAGCTTTCTTCTGAGGAACAAGTGTCTTTTAATTTCATGGGCTGCAGTCATCATCTGCAGGGATTTTGGAGCCCAAGAAGAGAAAATCTGCAACTGTTTCCATTGTTTCCCCATCTACTTGCCAGGAAGTAATGAAACCAGATACCATGATCTTAGTTTTTTTTTGAATGTTGAGTTTTAAGCCAGCTTTTTCACTCTCCTCTTTCACCTTCACCAAGAGGCTCTTTAGTGCCTTTTCTCTTTCTACCATTAGGGTACTATCATCTGCATACCTGAGGTTGTTGATATATCTCCCATATCTCCCATGCTGGAAATCTTGATTCCAGCCTGCAATTCATCCAGCCTGGTATTTCACATAATGTACCCTGCATATAAGTTAAATAAGCAGTGTGACAACATATAGCCTTGACGTACTCTTTTATCACTTTTGAACCAGTCCATTGCTCCATGTCTGGTTCTAACTGTTGCTTCTTGACCTGCATACAGGTTTTGCAGGAGGCAGGTAAGGTGGTCTGCTATTTCCAACTCTTTAAGAATTTTCCACAGTTCGTTGTGATCCACAAGGTCAAAGGTTTTAGCACAGTCAATGAAGCACAAGTAGATGTTTTTCTGGAATTCCCTTGCTTTTTTTATGATCCAATGGATTTTGACCATTTAATCTCTGGTTTCTCTGCCTTTTCTAAATCTAACTTGTACATTTAGAAGTTCTCAGTTCGCATTCTGCTGAAGCCTAGCTTGAAGGATTTTGAACATAACCTTACTAACATGTCAAATGAGTGCAATCGTATGGTAGTTTGAACATTATTTGGAATTGCCCTTCTTTGAAACTGGAATGAAAACAGAACTTTTCCAGTCCTGTGATCACTGTTGACTTTTCCAAATTTGCTGGCATATTGAGTGCAGCACTTTCACAGCATCACTTTGTAGGACTTGAAATAGCTCAGCTGGAATTTCATCACTTCCACTAGTTTTGTTCATAGTGATGCTTCCAAAGACCCACTTGACTTCACATTCCAATATGTCCAGCTCTAGGTAAGTGACCACATCATCGTGGTTATCTGGGTCATTAAGATATTTCTTATACAGTTCTTCTGTGTATTCTTGCCCCCTTGTCTTAATATCTTCTGCTTCTGTTATGTCCTTGCCATTTCAGTCCTTCGTTCATAGGGATACTTCCTAAGGCCCACTTGACTTCACATTCCAGGATGTCTGGCTCTAGGTGAGTGATCACACCATCATGCTTATCTGGGTCGTGAAGATCTTTTTTGTATAGTTCTTCTGTGTATTCTTGCCACCTCTTCTTAATATCTACTGCTTCTGTTAGATCCATACCATTTCTGTCCTTTATTGAGCCCATCTTTGCATGAAATGTTCCCTTGGCATCTCTCATTTTATTGAAGAGATCTCTAGTCTTTCTCATTCTATTGTTTTTCTCTATTTCTTTGCATTGTTTACTTAAGAAGGGTTTTTCATCTCTCTTTGCTATTCTATGGAACTCTAAAAATCCATAAATCTGTTGTTTAAATACCCCTTCCCAAGGTGACACTAACCGCAGAAAGCAATCAGAGGCGTACAGCTTTGTGAGAGCCTCAGACAGTCCCGACTATTTTCCAGACCTATGACTGGGCCTAACTCCTCAGGCATCCACATAAGGCCTTACTCTCTGTTGCTCACCCACATATGCTTAAGGAACGGTACAGAGTAGAGGACTTCTTGCTACTTCAAACTGTAAATATGTATTTCTCCTTTTAAAATAAAATCAGTGCTCGGCATTTACAATTTTGGTCATTATCTTGCTGGGAAACAAATTAATCTGTGAAGCCCGCTGTGAGGGGTCTGACCATATGCCATGACTCACTGGCTCAAAACCAACCTGAAAAGCCAAGAATATAAGATGAGCAGGTTTTACAAATTGCTCAGGAGATGCTCTTAGAAAAAAACAAAATAGCTCCTAACACAACAGAAATGAACCAAGAAACAGTAACACATATAGTTTCCTCTATTGGCTTATTTCAAGCTGACATTGCTCAGCCATAGGGCATCTCAACTTAAATTCCTCTCCTCCCTCCAAAATATTTCCTCTAAACATCCTTCTATAGAAGGTGACAAGAACAGTTTGCTGGGAAAAAAAAGGAAAAATATTCATTAAACCTCTGCATTTCCAATGCAAGGGTTTGATTCCTGGTCAGAGAACTGTGATCCCACATGCCACACAGCACAGCCAAAAACAAACAAATAACAATAACAAAAAAAACCAAGAAACAAGATTTTCAGCACAAAAAGAGATGCAAATAATAATCTAAAGAAGCTTTTAAAAAAAAAAAGTATTTATCATCAGCCCAAGAGAGAAGAGCAGGAGGAAGAGGGGCCAGCGAGAAGGACTTACGGGACAGAAGTAGGTGTTCTCCACGATGTGGTGAGCCACCACGCTGTTCTCGGCGGACAGAGACATGATGAAGAGCAAGGCATCCCGGGCCTGCTGGCCGACGGTCCCCTCCCGGTGAATGAAGGGGATCAGAAGGGAGAAGATGAGGAAGTTCGCAGCCCCTTGGTCCTCACTGGTGTGGAAGAAGAGCTCCAGGATGGATGGATCTTTGGCAAGAATGGAACAGAGCTGATTGAGCAGGACTACCAGCTTCGCCTCCACAGTGGGGGTGGCTGTTCCCGAGCAGGAGCTCAGCAGCATCATCAGGGGCTTCAGAATGGGCTTGTGGTGCAGCAGAGGCTGCCGGGACTGGGTGATCAGCATCTCGTACATCTTGAGCTGCTCCATCTTCGTCTCATCGGTGAATTCCCGCCTCAGGCTCCAAAGGAATAGCTTCTCCATGATGTTCTCGGAGACCACGAACTCCAGGATGGGCCCCATGGCAGCACCCCTGGCCTGCTCTTCAATCAGAAGAAAGAGCATGTGCTCCACATAGTTCTGAACGGCACTGGCCTCGTCTGGAGGGACAGGCCCGTACTTCGCCTGGGTGTTCTTCAAGGGGTCATGCTTCTCTAAGATTTTCACAACCTGTAACCAAATCAAACATGCGTCATCCATCTGATGTTTACCATAGCTTACAAAAACATACCGCTGCTGACTGTACCAAATCTTCATGGAAAATGCAAGAGCCATGACCCCCAACAAGATATATGTGAGCAACAGCTATACACAAAATGGATAACCAACAAGGACCTACTGTATAGCACACGGAACCCTGCTCAGTGCCATGTGGCAGCCTGGATGGGGGGGGGGGGACTTAGGGGAGAACGGATACGTGTACATGTTCGGTTGGGTCCCTTCACTGTTCACCTGAAACTACAACATTGTCAATCCGCTACATCCCAGTACAAAATAAAAAGTTCAAAGTTTGGGGGAAAAAAGATATGTGAGCCTTCTGCATCTCCCTCTCATGAGAATAAAATGAAGGGGTTAAAACCTACAGAAAGAAGATGTTTGAAGTTGTTCATTTAACATAGTTACACATGTTGGCAACCTAAATGTCAAAGAAAGTGATATGATTATGTAAATTAAGCTGCATACATTTCTGGGCCTATTATTATGAAGACTATTGAGCAAAATTTTAAAAAAAAACTGTAACTGATATGTTAAATGAAAAAATAAGTTAATTGTATACAATTAGACTCATCATGATCAACTACATCAAAAACATGAAAGTGAAAAAAGACTAAAAAAATACATAAAAATAGTAATAGCTGTTGTGTTCAAAGTAATGACAAGTTCTGAATTTTTTTTAAGCTGTCAAGAACATAATACAGCTTTTAAATTTTAAAACATTAAATCAGCAGGACTACCGTTGTTCCCCTACAAATAGCATTGATTTGAAGCTTTCAGCCACAGAATGCAGCTCCTCACATGTCCCTGACAGCCCTCCCTACCCTCCTGGATGGGTACCCTCTTCAGTAAAGCATGCATCATAGGAAGGAGAGAAGACCATGAGACACATACCTAGAAGGATCCCCTAACGCATGGCATATGTTGAAATTTTAAGCATGAAGAGTTTGAATGGTGTATTTTTTCAAGCCAGAAAAAAAATTTTGAGCTAACCAATTACAAAATAAATCCCTAAAGCACAGGGTTTCTGTTTGGGGTAATGAAAAAGTTTTGAAAGTAACAGTGATGGGTACACAACACTGTGAATGTAGTTAATGCCACTGACTAAAAGTGATAAAGATGGCAGAGCTTGTTTTATATATTTATATGTACCACCAAAAAAGAAAAAAATTATTGAAAATTAAAACATAAACAATCTCATGTGACAGTCTAGGTGTTTCTCTCCCTAACTGCTGGCCTTTTAACACTTCCTACCTCTCTCCACCCATCAACACTTAACTTCTACTTTGGTACCTGAAAATTAAAACAATTTTACATCTCAGCTCCCATTAAACTTTATGACTTGGAATTTCTACAATAAATATCCATTCAAAAATTCACTTCCTTTAAAATGTATACACATGTTAATTCTCAAGCATTTTATCAATGACTTTAAGTTGTTCCTTTTTGCCTTTCTGAACCACACACTCTGTGGAATATGTTTCACTTCGGTCTTACCCTCCTGGCTCAGTTCTAGGACATGCTGTTACATGTTCTGGTATTTAGGTTATAGAATTTTTGCAAGTCACTGCGGAAACTGGCAAAAGAAGAAGGCTACGTCAGCAGGCGTGAGCAATGAGGGAAATTTATTTCCCGGGGAAAAGTCTAAGTCTTTCCCCTTTCTGAAGCAGAGTAAAAGAACATTTATAGACTAGGCTAGTTATCCTTGTGGATGAATATATTTCTACAGAATCTGTAATCTCCACCGGCTTCCATTATAAGATTAAAAATACTGCCAGGGTAATGCCGAAAACATTACCCCCCAAACCCTTGAGCTGATAGTTTCAATGAGGAAGGCTGTGGTTAGCAGTCACCCAGGACATGCACAGCTCGGGGACTTGTGGCCTAGGTCTTCCCAATGGCCATCCCCTCTTCTTGGCTGCATGGACTGCAGAGTGCCCCCCCAACCTCCATGAACTCCTCCAGGACCCCTCACAAGCCTGAGGACCTCCACTGTGAGAAACACTGGGATCTGTTGTCCTACTTTCCCTGGGTTTTGACCTTGACAAAGTCTTCCAGTGTGGATCGCAGTACCACACTTGCCCAAAAGGGGGCACCACCTCGATACAGGATGCTCTCCAGCCCCAAGGCCCCCTTCAAGGTTCCACATTCTAAAGAGCAAATTAGCTCTATACTTGTATTAATTCGATAATCTCAAAGTTCACATATTGAGTTTACTTATGAGAGCTATCTATACAGCAAGGCCTCAGGGTAGAAATGTAATTATACTTCTCATGTGTGCTTAGACTGTCTAAACTATCTGAAACTGGGACTGTGCATTATACATTGATAGTGGCACTGCAAATGAGCTCCATCTTTCTAGAAAGCAATCTGGCAACATGTAACAGAATCTATAAAGTTGTTCCTGCCCTTTGACTTGTTAATCTCACTTTGGGGAAAATGCCTCAAGGAAACAACACAAAGATAATTTGTTTTAAAATGTTTACACCAGCTATATTTTCAGTAATGAAAAATAAAAAATATTATTGACCCAAATGGTCAAGAATAAGAGAGTTATAATCACAATGTTACATCACCATATACTAATGCTATTAAAAATAAATACAAAATGAATCATATCACTACTTGCCAATATATAAGGAGAAATAATTTAAGTTAAAAACTAACTATACTGACAAATAGACCCATAGTTAGAAATGAGTTTGAAGATATAATGAGATTGTAAGGTTAATTAGTTCTTCTTTCCTATAAATTGATCTAATTTTATAATATAAGTAAAAATAAAAACAAAGTAATTTTGTCCTTATGTCTAAAAAAAGGACCAAACACTGAGTTAAAACAGTAATTAACGGAAACTCCTAACCAGTATAAATTTTCATATATGCATATGTGTTTATTCTACATGCATGCCTTTAAATATTTTAAAATATCTAAATGTATATGTGTAAATATAGAGCAAAACTATTTACATGATCACAAGCCACACTTTTCTCATAGGTTAATCTTCATTTATATTATTTATTCCAAGACACTCCCCTGCAAACAAACCTACTTTTGGTGGGGAGGGGGTCACGAAAAACCCAAAAAAGAGAACTGAAATTTTTATACAGAATGTAAACTACATAGCAGCTTCTACATTGAAACCTCTCTCTGTATCCCCTATACAGAAGCTCTTCTATACCACCTTCTGGGTTCATGGGCAGAGAAACACAAGAACAGAGCTGTGATAACCCCACCGAGAAAGAAAAGGCTTGTTGGTCATCTGGAACAGGGCCCTTGACTCATTCCCCAGTTTGGCCTGGAGGCTTTACTGCTTGGAAGACTGGTGAGTTACAACCAGGGCCTGTGAGTCATGGAAACAGGACGCTCAGCAAAGTGCTGATTCTGCCTGTGCTGCCACTCGTCCTTAACCTCCCTCTCCGAGGTGTCAGGACATTCCGGGCCACCTCCCTTTCCCTTTCAGGCAGACACACCCATGACCTGCTTTTACAAGTGGGCTCTGCGGGCCCACGCCCTGCGCCTGGTTCCCACACTGAAGGGCAGTGCCTCCGAAGCTTCCCGGCCAGACCACAATGGGCACTGAAACGCCAGGAGCTTCTGTTCTGATGCCCCAAGTCAGCCGTCGAGGGGGGTCAAAGCACTTTCGGGTTCTGTCGGCTGATTCCTGACTTTTCCATTTTTCCCTTATGTGGCCTCTTCTCACATCACTCCCACCAAACTCCAACATCCCTGGGCCCCCGATTTTTGCTTGCTGACAGTTTCACTCATCTACTGCAGATGGCTGCTGCTCACGGTAGCCTGACCCGCTCCCCTGATTACCCTCTTACACTCTCCACCTTGCCTCCAACTCCCCAGCCCTGGCTCTTTCTCAGCCATACGTGCTTAGTCTCAAGGATTCAGTTTAGGGGATGAAAACACAATTATGGGGGTGGAGAGATCCAAGTAGGAAAATATACTTTGCAAATATTTCCTTTACTAAACAAGTTCACTTTTTTAGGCAGCTTCCCTTGTGGCTCAGCTGGTAAAGAATCCACCTGCAACGCGGGAGACCTGGGTTTGATCCCTGGGTTGGGAAGATCCCCTGGAGAAGGGAAAAGCTACCCACTCCAGTGTTCTGGCCTGGAGAATTCCATGGGGTCGCAAAGAGTTGGACACGACTGAGAAACTTTCACTTTCACTTTTGTTATGCCAGATACCACTGAACAAACCTAATCAACCCCTGATAAAGCCCATGCTCACTATATTAGCCAGCTAAGATCAGATACAGCACTGTAAATGGTTTTCCAATTATAGCCAGGCATCTGTTGATCTACCAACTGTAACATATACAAGCTTTTGTATATAAACTATATATACACACATGCACACATATAAATATGGAGTCATTTATATATTTGCATAAAATTTACATATATGTGCAAATTCACATTATTAAATTTACATGTATGTAAATATACATATATAAAGTTAATGTATATTACATTACATGTATAATGTAAATATAATAAAAATATATATGTAAATTTATATACATAAGGATATAAATACAAAAAGATCAAAAGCCCAAATCATGTATCACGATTCTAAAAAGAAACAAATACACAAAAAATCAACAGTGTGAGCAATGGTATACAAATTATCATCTGACCAACATAGCTAAGTTTTTAACCTAACTTCAAAGTTATTTGATCTGTAAATATGATGATTATTAGAGCTCAGTAAGACGAACAAATAGCATATTGCTTTCTTTTAGGAATATCAGCTACTCCTATCCTTAGCTTTAATGATGTTTCAGCGAAAATGGGTCTGAATTTCAAATATGCACAAATTCTAAATAGGAAGCTCAAATGCTTTCAGAATGAAAGATATACATAAATCACATAATCTCACCACACACGAACAAATTCTTCATGATAAAAATCAATGTATCTCTGACAGGAGATTAGCTTTGACTC